GCTCCAGGCTACCAATGCATTCATCAAAGTAAGAGTAATTTTTTTCTGATGTTCTTTTATCTGCCCTTGCAACATTTGCGCCTTAACTTTCGTCTCCAGGGAATTAAATTATAAAAAGTTGGCTTGAAATTTATGACTTTGCACAAAAAGTATTTTTCGGATTTGAACCGGTAATTACGGAAGCTAATATTTTTTTGAAAGCCAATCTAACTAAAAATTCAAGGAAAATCTGAAACCTGTGGCTGCGCGAAACAAGTATTTTATTTTAAGCATGTTTTGATGTTGGAGGCGCGTGCATACTTGAGCGTTTGCGTCTTCATCTCAACTCCTTTTTCTCCGTTGTCAGTTGTTCCCAAATTTCTCTTCAGCCATTTTTTTATCAAGTTGCATCGGCTTTTTTGTAACTGGTGATCAGTGAACATCAATTTGATCAGGTGATCAGTCAACTTCTACACTGTTTTTCTCGATTACTAAAGTCGATAGCGTAATTTTTGTCCTAATCCCCACTGGTTCTACCGCATCAAATCACTACAGTTAATATATAACTTGCCATTCCAGTGCACAAAAACTCATTTTTTCCTTAGCGACTTTTATGCTTAAAAATCGCTGATAATAGCTGTTTATTAATATTTTTTTGTAAGAAATATGCCACATGCATAAAATCGCTACGCTTAGAAATAATACATTTCCCATGATGCATTTTTAAGAAGTGCTATCAGTAGAGCTGCTTTGGTCAAGTGTAATGAGGCTGGAAACAGAAAGAAGTCTTGAAGTTAATTTTAGTTTGTGACTCTGATTGACCGGCAAGTGAAACACGCAAAATGTTGCTAAACCCATGGCCTTCTTTGTTCTCGAGAATGTTTCGCACACATAGTAGGATAGTTGTTTTTTTTTTTTGTTTCTGAAGTGCTGGCACTGCAGAGAGTCATATACACTCTTTCAGCAGCCTCAAACCACTGGACACAAAGGGCGCGGCAAATCAGTCACTCCAACCGGTAAAGAATTTTCACTTATTTTAAGCATCTAAAAAATGTGGATAGTCACCACAGGTAGATTAATTAAAATTAAAAGGCGGCTTGGCGATCTTCGATAACTTTATGGCCACACACTGCTCAGCAGTGTAGGCCTCTCTGCTGCTTCTAGTTCGAACTTCCTTATTGTTGCAGCTAAAAAAAGAAAGCCTTTTAATCATTTCGGAAGAAGTCGTCAACAGTCTTATCAACGAATGACTTTGTACGTGAAAAAGTTAACATTGCGACTTTTGCTAGTTTTTTGCGCAGTGTAGTTTTCTAAATCGGAAAGCGAAATTTATTCTATGCGGAAAAGGGTTATTTATGCCATTTTTCATTGCTTCGTCACTTATTTCGAAATGTAATTTGATCGAATAAGTCTTGAAGCAGTAATGTGTGTATGCGTAATTCCGAAGATAGGGTTCAGAGTTAAAAGTTTCCAGAAGATAAGGCTTCACAAGAGGCAAAACGGAATTTTCTTA